GAGCCCGCGGGTTTGAGACCCGCCTGGGCAGTGAGACCTCATCTCTACAATAAATCAAAAGATCAGCCGGGCGTGGCAGCACACGCCTGTAGTTCCAGCTTTTCGAGGCTGTGGTGGCCGGGAGCGGCCACTGCACTCCTCTGGGCTACAGAGTGAGACGCCAACTCAAAAAAAAAGACAAAACAAGACAAAACAAGAGAGAGAAGCATAGACAAACAAACCAAGTAAGAAAAATCATAATCCAAAACCTAAAGTCAACAGTGCAAGAGGATGCTGTTTTTCACAGGAAAGTCCCCAGAGAGGCTCTAAGTACACAATCAGTAAATACAGAGAGCAGAAGCTCATAGGAGTCAAGATGATCAGTTCAGACCCCACCCACTACAAGCTGGGCCTCCCACTCACCCACGTTCAGAACAGCTATCTGCACCATTTCCCTACAGCAACAAGCCCAAAGACAGTTCTCCCAACAACCATGTGAACAGCAAAGATCCTACTAGGGGTGCTAGAACAAGCAATAAACTCAGAAAAAGGCCTGACATAAAGAATCTAACTCTCTTTCACAACGATGAAGTCCATCCGCTACACACCTTTCAGGAAAATCTGTCCATAAGCCCCTCCTCTACTCCTTATAAAAAGCCTACAGTCAATCGTTACATTCAGAGGAGAAACCTTCTGGAAAACAGATACACAAAAAACAAAGCAAACCCCTACGATCAACATACCTACATAAAGCAATGTAGACTTTCATAGAAAAAAACATGATCAATCAGTGAATAAACTCAACATCAAAGAGAAAGACTAGGAATTTTTGCTTTTTTAATGTAAAGAAAAGACTAGGAAGCAGACTAGATAGAACAAACAGAAGTTACCCAACAGAAAACAGATAATACAAGAAACAGAAAAGAACTTAAAAAATATAATCAGAAACATTAAAAAGTTACTCTTTTAAAGACTGCTTTTAAAAAGGAAAAATCAAATAAGTACTTTCCTAAATGCAAAAATTTGATTTCTAACATAAAAGAATTCAAATAATGAAGTAAAGAAGCTTAGTCCATTTGGACTACTATTTTTAAAATACTTTAAATTGAGTAATTATAAACAACAGAAATGTACTGCTCACAGTGCCGGAGGCTGAAAAGTCCAAGATTAAGGAACCAGCAGATACGGTGTCTGGTGAGGACCTGTTCCTCCTAAATGATGTCTTCTGTGTCCTCACATGGCAGAAGAAGAGGGAGGATCCCTCAAGACCCTTTCATAAAGGCACTAATCCCATTATGAGGGTATTGCCTCAAGATAAAATCACTTCTCAGAGGCCTCACCTCTTAAAAAAACACGTCAAGTACTACATTCCAATATATGAATTTTGGAGGGACAATAACATTCAAACCATACCACCAAGCAAAGAGAAAAAAATCCACTTACTAAGAGAAAAAGTAGGAAAGTCATTCAGGAGATACAATAAAAAGATGAAAAGATGGAAAACATGACAAAGAAAAAAAGGCAAAATCCAGAAGGTCCAACCTAAAGGGCACTAGATCTAGAGTGCCTTTTATGCATGCTAAAAGAGTACCTAAATACAAATGAATAAACAAATAAATAAACAATGAAGAAAAAACATAAGAGAAGAATATTTTCTCAATGTAATGAAAATCTTAAGTTCTGAGGTTGAAAAGGCTCACCAAAGCCTGAGAAGGACAAATTTTTAAAAGACACAAATAAACAGATGATGTTGAAGTTTCACATTATCACATATAAAAATAAAATCTTAAAAGCTTCAAGCAAACATCTAGAAAGAAACAAAAGTTACACTAGCATTTTGCTCCTTGGTAGCATCACTGTATGCCAGAAGAAAACAGTGCTCTACTTTCAAAAATCCAGGGGCAACTACTTGAACAAAAAATTGTACGTTCAGTTGAAGTATCAACCAACTATAAGGGTAAAAGAAAGATATTTTCAGTCATGTAAGGAGTCAGAACATGTACCACTTGTGTATCCTGAGAAAATAATTCAACAAAAAGAAAAGGAAGATCTGGGATCCTAGAAACTGTGGAATAAAGTTCAGCAATACAAAAGAAAACGTAAGACGACAACTGTGAGTAGGCTTATGGAACAACTGGTCTAAATCCATACCATAAGCCAAAGAGACCGAAGAAAAATGTCCTCAGCCTACTATACAAATGTCTGACAAAAAAATAGGCATTCTTTATGAGAGAGGAAAAGAAGGGTAATCAGAAACTCCAGGGAGAAAATGTCAGGGACCCTATGGTTTAAAATTAGACCTGGCCGGGTTCAGTGGCTTAGCCTGTAATCCCAGCACTTTGGGAGACTGAGGCGAGTGGATTGCCTGAGCCCGTGGGACTTGGAGAGACCTCTTCTCTTCAAAAAAAAAAAAGTTAGCGTGCATAGTAGCACACGCCTGTAGTTCTGGCTACTTGGAAGGCTGAGGCAGAAGGATCAGTGGAGCCCAGCAGGTCGACGCTGGGTGGCATGAGCATGCCACTGCACTCCAGCCTGAGCAGCGAAGTGAGACTCCAACTCAAAAAAAAAAAAAAATTAAACAGACCTAAATGGTGCATAATTTAGGTAACGAATGGACTATAAAGAAAGATAATCTATTTGACTTTGATCTTTAGAAGAGTATTTTTGGACAGGTTGATGGCATACCATTTTCACTTCTCAGTAGGTCCAAACATACTACATGATTCTCTAGGAAATATTTACATAGTCATAAAATTATAAATGCCCACTTACAAGTTTCCAATTTCAGAATTCAAAATCTAAGCTATCCCACAGTGTGACCTATAAACTACAACATCAGAATTATTTTAAACTTTTCTTTTAAACCTGGACCCCAACCTTAAAGATTCAACAGATCAGGTTGAAAGTCTCAGATATATTCACTTTACAAATTATCCAAGTATATCTAATATACACTAAATTTTGAGAATCACAGCTATAAACCAGTAATCTCTGACATTTCTCATTATAAATCTTATCAGCAAAGTTTTGAGTACCTATTTCTAATATACAATAGGTATAAACTATATATATTTTATATAAATATATATTATCTTACAAATATGAAAAATAGAAATTATAAAGGATTAGAAAAATAACCTAACAATATTTTAATATTTGCTTCTGCTCAACTAAGAGGAAAGTAAAAATTAAGGCTATGTTTAAAAAGTCGAAAAAATTAATAAAAGGAGAGGACGATAAAGAAAGAATCATAGACAGTAAGTCCAGAAGGCTTATTCTGCTTTAAAAAAAGATAGAGACAGAGAGAGAAAGCCTGAGGGTGATCACGTTTTACCTCAAAGGATGATTGAGGCAGTAACAAGGATACTTCAACAAAAGACTTAATTCTAATCATCAAAAGGAGAAAAATGATTGATACATTACACATACAAGCAACATGAGGAGAAACTGACTATACTATTTTAAGAGTTGACAATAACCAAGGAAAATAAAATTAAACATAGGCAGGCATCACAGATTTTTAACAAATCAAATTCAGACAATATTGGAATGATACAATCATTCTTCCAATTTTTTAAAAAAGAAAAGGAAAAGGTATCCATATGCTTAGCTTCTCATTTAGGAAATACAATGAAACCCATTTAATAGGAAAACAAGTGTCGTGATTGCAGGGCTAAGTGTCATGGGACTACTGTATACCAAATGTTTGATAAGGAGTACCCAGCATCACTCCACTGTTTCTAATGACCAAGGAGAGACCCAATAATCTACAGTTAAATGACTGGGCATCCCCTACAGAGTAATAAGGAGTGCTAAGTGAACCTATTCCAGAATACTTACTCTGTTCTGGCAAGGTCATCCCAGGCTTTCAAGTATGCACTGCAATTATCTTAGGGGAAAACTGAGTCACATCTAGTAAGTTCCCTATGGGGGCACTCTAGAGTATAAAGCCAAACAACAGAGACTGCCAACATTTAGAGTTGAGCTATAACACACAGACACACACACACAGACACACACACACACACACACGCACACACACACAATTCACACAATGCCTAGGCTGTAGTTTTACCTCTTACCTGCAAGCTTCCCAAATAATGTCAGAGTATGAGCAGGAAACAGGGCCTAACTGTACTTGGTGAATTGGAACCCTTGCAATAAATTCAATAATTATTAAATTTTGCTCCATATTCATTTAGAAATTAAATACAACTTTTTATGGCATTAATGACAAGTTTTAATGTTAATACTAAATAGAAACAAATTCAACAAACCAAAACTTGTGAAAAAAATAATTTGGGAACTCACCTTTCCACAACCAAACTGACTGCTTTTGTGAGATCTGGGTTTGTCACCTGAAGACGTTTCCACAAAGACCATACAAACTCTTTATCAGCCTTAAAGAAAAAAAAAAAAGATATCAAAAAAGATAAGACACTACATTAAATTTAAAAATAAAAAAATAATAATCAATTCCTAGATCTATAACTATACCAATAGTTTATCTTTAAAAAATATGTCAGAAAGACTTTATTTTTAAAAATTCTTACACTACTTACCCACATTCACGTGTACTTAGTCTGTCATTCACATTTTGGGGGCACAAATGGTGAAATGCTGAAAATCAAGGTAAATTTGCTCTAAAAGGAAATTCTCCTCCAGCTACAACTGCATTTTTCAGCTCTCCTTTTCAGCAAAACTCCTTGTAAGAGCTGCCTATCACTGTCTCCATTTCCTCACCTCCCATTTACTCCATAAGGTCCTCTTAAAACAGATTTCTCTCTGTCGGGCTCGGTGGCGCAGCCTTTAATCCCAGGCAAGGTGAGTGGATTGACTGAGCCTGAGGGTTCGGGACCCACCCAGGCAACTTGGTGAGCCCTCGTCTTGGCAATAAATCAAAAATTAGACGGGCGTGGTAGCACACACCTGTAGTTCAGGCTACTGGGAAGGCTGAGGTGGAAAAATCCTGGGAGGCCAGAAGGTCGGCGCTGGGGTGGCCATGAGCGTCCCCAGCCTGGGCAACCAAGTGAGACGCCAACTCAAAAATGAAAAGACTTCTCTCCCCACCATTATGCTAAAATCATTTTTCAAGGTCTTCTATATTGACAATGGACAATTTCAATCCTTATTGCCTTGGTTAGTTGTTTTTAACCTTGGCTGACAGGAGTCACTCTGGGAGCTTTTAAAAAAAATAGGGATGATCTAGGCCTGGTACAGTGGCTCACAGCTGTAATTCCATCACTTCGGGAGGCCAAGGCAAGAAGATTCCTTGAGCTCAGGAGCTCAAGACAGCTCAGGCAACAGAGTGAGACTTCATCTCTATAAAAAAATAAAAATAAAATTAGCTGGGCAAGGTGGCACATGCCTGCAGTCCCAGTCACTCAGGAGGCTGAGGCGGAAGGATCACCTGAGCCCAAGAGGTCAAGGCTACCTGTGATCGTGCCACTTCACTCCAACCATGGCAACAGAATGAGACTTCAACTCATAAAAAAAAAATTATATATATATATGGATAATCTAGAGATTCTGAGTAACTAGTCTCAGGTAAGGTCCAAGCACCTGTATTTTTTAAAAGCTCCTCTCTCAGGTGAATCTGTGTAGTCTAGGTTGAGAACCACTATTTAAGAAACCTCGTATCAGACCTTAATTTTACATACCAACTCTACACTAAGACTCCATCGCTAAGATTTTATATCTAGCAATTTTCTCTACTCTTGGGTCCAGACATGTATCTCCAATTGCATATTAAACAATTCCACTTAAATGTCTAACAGACATCTTAAACTTGTCCAAAATAAAATTATTGATTTGTTACCCTCTCATAAATCTGCACCTTTGCATCTCAGAAAATGACACCACTCAATGGATCAAAGATCTAAGTAGGAGTCAATCTTGGTTGCTTTTTTTCCCTCACACTTCATACCCAAACCGTCATTAGACCCTATTGGCCTTATCCATACAATATATCTCAATTCCGACCACTCTTACTTTTTCCACCACTGTCACCCTAGTCCAGATAAATTCCCTTTCTTGCCTAGCTCTCTACCATGATCTCCTAGCCTTACAACTCAAAACTTTCCAATGGGTTCCCATCAGATTAGGAAAATAATCCAAATTCTTCTCCAAGGCTTTAAGACCCCAAATCATCTGGCCCCACATAAACCTTCCCAACCTCATCCATCACTCTCTGCCTTGTTCACATTGACTTTTTTTTTACTCAACTTAAACGAGGGCCTTTGTACATACTGAACCTCGGGTTTTTATATAGATTATTCCCTCACTTCATTTAGGTCTTTGCCTAAATACCTCCCCAAAAGAATTCTCCCCTGACTACTGGGTCTGTAATAGCCACCAATACCATCAAGTTTCTGATAACTCCTTGCCCTTTTCCAACTTTTTTTCACAGCACATTTTATTTAATAATTCTGTGAATGGTTGGTTGTTTGGGTTTACTTTGTGGCAGATACTTCAATTTGTACCTGTCTCCATCAGCCATTCCCTCCTTTTTTGAGTTACAGAAATCATTTTGCCCAGCTAACAGACTGGCCACTCCTAGCTTATGGGCTATGTGACAAAGTTCTGTCAGTGAAATAGGAGTGTTATTAGAAATTCATAGAAAATCTTAGACTTAGACTTATGCCTACTTGCCGTGTGAGAAGTATTCTTCCCAGTTTGTTGCTGATTATTTTATTTATGAGAATTCTTCTGGAAAAAGAAAGCTAATAATTTTAACTCAAATGTTATCTATCTCTTCCATTATGATTTACGGATTTTACGTGCCAGTTTAAAAAGACTTTCTCTACTTCAAGATTAAAAATACATCTACTCACTCTTTGTTCTAGAATTTGTTTTTAATTTTTCAATTGACAAAAAATGTGTATAGTTATGTTGTACAGCATGATGTTTTGATACATGTACGCACTGTGGAATTGCTAAATCAAGATAAATAATATAAATGCTGCCTCAGATGCTCATACCTTTTTGTGATGAGAATACTTAAATTCTACCCTACAGAATTTTCAAGTATATAGTTTATTGTTATTAACTATAATCAACATGTTTGTAACTAGGTCTGGTGATTAGGAAAACAAAGTAAGTTTTTTGTGAACAATAAAATGCTACAAATGTATTGTGGAACTAGAATGTATGAGTTTTAGAAGTTTTTTAGTTATTTAGATACTACAACATTACTATAACATGTTCAGTTTAGATTATACTTCAAATTAATAAAAAGACTCTCTTTCATACACAAAACATAAAGTCCTTCAAAAACCACAGAAACAGTGTCCAAATTGTGGCAGACATTATTAATACAAGGAAACTACTATCAATCAGTCTCTTTATTTTTTCCTATATTTCCCTTGTTTCGGGCACTTAAAGACATTGTTTTAAATCTGTCAGATAAAAACCTTTAAAATTACTCATTATAAATTTCTTTACAAACTTCCAAATAGAATTAAATAATCTAAGATTGAAAAATAAAAATTCCTACCCCTTCTCACAAAGTTTGTTAATCTCAGTCTATGCAACTGGTTCTAAATTTCCTTGGAGGTAGACTGGTTTTGCCTTTCACTATAAGCGGGCATGAAAATAGATTCCATCTATACAAAAACAGACACCCAAAATGGTCTTTCTTCATTCAGTTCCAGCACCTAGTTTAGTTTTTGGCAATGGATTAGGCCCTCAATTGACCTTTACTAGAAAAATGAATTCAACAAATATCTGAAAACAGTTTCCTACATTTAAACAAATAACTTGCTTACCAGAATGGAGGGAAACCATATCAAAAGTTTACATACAAAGTATGGCACAAAGCAGCCACTTAGTAAATTAAAAGCATGGAAAATAATTACACAAAAAGATCTACCTACTAGAATACTGCTACTGAGAACTAAAAGAAATTACACAATACACCCGCCAATATTTAGTCTTTGTGAATGAATAAACAAGGTTTCGACACACCTAAATTTCTAAAATAAAATATAATTGGCTGAGTCCTCTGGTCATACAGTCTTCAAATATCACATGCTTCGAAAGTTAATTTCATCATTAAAGTTGGTAATGAACACGTATTTCATTTAAATGCCCTAAACATTTTTTCCTGAAACTGGTTTACAAGTTTAGTAAATATTTTTGGCTGATTCCAAAAATAAAACTTTATACACACTATGTAAACATAACATTACTTTTTCTATGTAAACACATTACTTTTTCTCATCAGGTATTCTACCAATGGTGATTACTGTGCGCACACACACACACATACACACACACACACACACATTCCCAGCATCCTCTGTCACAAGCAGAACACATTCTTGAAATGTATAATCAAAATTAGAAGTATAATGGAGTTAGTTTCTAAATCAATGAGATAAGGCATAAATGTGATGGGCACAAAACTACCCTTTGGAACACCCTCGAAAATTCCTTAGGAAAAAGTTACATTTGCAAACTAACCTACTAATCTCAGGAAGTCCAATACAAACAGCTTTTCTTCTCCCCACTGAAATTAATCACTTTTTCTTCATCTGAGCGTTATGTATAGTTTGCTTGCTAACCAGGGGGCCACATTTTTTTAAAGTTTAGCTAGCACAATCACATAGTGAGATGAGATGTCCATATTAAGAAAAACACAAATGTATTCTAGTACATGCTTATTCTGAGGCATTCCAAGGAAGTAGAATGGAACAGGGAATCACTCAAAAGTGTTTTCTCCACCAAACACAGATAATTGAATTCCCTTAAGTTGAATGGAGGGGGGAACTAACTTAAATGACCATGGATGAATTAGCAGCATCTCTTTCCCCAACTATATTTCACCCATTAGTGGGTTCTGAAATTAATTTAGCAGATCTGGACAGCATTTTTTTAAGAGTAAAATGAAAAACATACCAGGTTTCATGACACACGGTCAGGGTAAATGCTCTCTGAAATTAGATGCCAGTGTATGTGTGTGTGCTTACTAGGTTGAGATGTAAAATGAATTTTATTTTGGCTTTTAATTTCTAGCACGGTTTTAATACCAAGTGTTCTTGGGTACTGACTTCTAGCTTAATAAAGAAGTGGAAGAATGAATTTTAAAAGATGTAAAAGTAAATAATTAACTACTTAACTGCTTCTTTACAAAGCAATTAGGAGTTCAGTTGCTATTCTTTCCAAGCTTCCCCAAGAGCAGGAGTCTGGCTTGACTAAAGTTTTGTGGTGTGGGATACTGCCAGCCTCATCTCACATTACTCAACGCCTGTGGTCATCTAACAAAATCTAGAGAACCATCGTTCTAGACTAATTTGACCATCTCTACATATCAAGGTCACAAAAGCCAACTCCGTGTTTCGAACCACATTTCTAAAGAATGCAATAATGAATGGATTCGGGGAAAGAGGTTCACTGCTGTTTCCAACAGACTGACTTCCTTAACCACGCCAGTTATAAAAAGCACATTTAGCTCCTTAGCCAGCTAAAGCCCTAACTATAGGGGGAGGCAGAAGTAGGGAGAAAGGGTGCAGGAAACACTGGCAAACAGTGCCTAGGAGTAGGATCTTTATCATAGGTTCACATCTTG